GCTGCATCCCTGTTGCCGCTATGGTAGATCCACGCGGCACTATGCCGATGACACACGGCCGACCAGACGATGAAGACGAAGCCTGAGACTGTGACGCACCTTTGGCCATTACTGTTTGTTCCTGTTGTGACTGTTGTTGTCGCCGAAGAAGATCCGACAACTCAAACACCAGAGATTGTTGTTCGTGAAAGCACCAACCTTGATTCCGTATCAGGTAGCGGACAGGCTGATACAGACATGTTTCCTAAAGTTGAGCAGTTGGAAGAAAACTATGACTTTCCCGTCGAAAATTTTAATTAGCAAAACGAACAGCAGCATCAGCAGCCGAAGCTCCAAGTTCGTTCTTGCCAGTCGACGATTCAGAGATAATCAAAGACTACGACAGTGATTCGCTTGTTCATGTGTTGTGCTTTCTCCTTGATATTATTGCTAACGAGTCTTGCTGATCGGTCACCATGGTTGCCAACAACGATAGGAACGGTGAGAGCTCGAGTAAGTCTGTTGGACCCTCTGGCGGATGTGGCCGAGGTACGGCGAAGGCTCATACTGCTCAGTCATTAGCGGGGCATGAGGTGGCTGCTAATGTAGTTGTGATTGACGAAGACAGGACCGAACTAAACGGGCTTAATGACGAGTAATGGCAGACTCTTGTAAGCATTAAGCCAGGACTAATGAAAAACTCTCTGGTAAGAATTACTCCACTGAATTGATTGTTAACTCTGGGGCATCACATCACATGACAGGGAATTTAAATGTGCTCGTCGACACCTATGATGTTGCACCTTGTCCTGTTAGCTTACCCAATGGTGCGCACATCGAGGTCGTGAAAGAAGGCATGTTGAACTTGGAAATAATTTTAAATTGCTGCACGTATTATATGTCCCAAAACTCAATTGTAATTTATTGTCAGTAGGTCGGTTACTTCGTGACACAGATTGTATTGTGACGTTTACTAATAAGTTGTGTGTGATACAGGACCGCATCTCAAGGACTCTGATTGGTGCAGGTGAATAACTTGATGGGGTCTATGTCTTCAAGGGTGTGGCGCCGGTTCGTGCTTACAAGACAGATGGAATTGGATCATGCGATTTGTGGCATCAGAGATTGGGACACCCTTCTTATCAAACAGTTAGTTCGCTTCTTAATATCAGTAATAGTAAGAACAAAACCTGTGATGTTTGTTTGAAGGCAAAGCAAACTAGAGATGTTTTTATTCAAAGCAGCAATAAAGGGTGTGGCGCCGGTTCGTGCTTACAAGACAGATGGAATTGGATCATGCGATTTGTGGCATCAGAGATTGGGACACCCTTCTTATCAAACAGTTAGTTCGCTTCTTAATATCAGTAATAGTAAGAACAAAACCTGTGATGTTTGTTTGAAGGCAAAGCAAACTAGAGATGTTTTTATTCAAAGCAGCAATAAAGTGATTGATTGTTTTGCTTTGATTCATTGTGACTTATGGGGTGCTTATAGAGTACCTGCATCTTGTGGTGCGGTATATTTTCTGACGATTGTTGATGATTATTCTCGAGCAGTTTGGATTTATATGCTGGCTGAAAAAAGTGAAGTTGGTAGAACATTCAAAAATTTCAGTGTCATGATTGAACGACAATTTAATAAGAAGGTTAAGGTGGTAAGAAGTGATAATGGAACAGAGTTTAAATCCTTGAAGTCATATTTTGTCGAGCAAGGAATTTTATTTCAAACTTCCTGCGTTGGGATACCACAACAAAATGGTCATGTGGAGAGAAAGCATGGTCATATTTTGAATGTAGCCAGAGCACTCAGGTTTCAAGCACATCTTCCGATCAATTTCTGGGGTGAGTGTGTTTTGACCGTAGGATACCTGATTAACTAGACACCTTCGACCCTTCTTGGTGGTAAAACACCTTACGAGATGCTATTTGGACAAATATCTCAGAGTTTTTGGTTGCTTATGTTTCTCGCATACTAGGGACCATGACAAGTTTGCCACTAGGAGTAGGAAATGCGTCTTTGTTGGGTACCCTTTTGGGAAAAAGGGGTGGAAATTGTACGACATTGAGTCTAGTGATTACTTCATCTCGAGACGTGGTGTTTAATGAGGCCGAGTTTCCCTTTGCCACTCCGGAACATCCACCCTCTATAACCAGTCTTCCCGTAGCCAAAGAAAATATTGGGTTGCCTTGGGCCACTCCTTCTGACATGGTATCTGAGTCACCTCATATAGAAGTCAGGGGGAGCGACACGATCGATGAAGAAGGACATTCGAACACGGGTAATGATGAGGAGGCAGGTCCCCTTGATGAGACAAGGAGCCATACAGATTACAGAGATAATGAAACTCCAGCCGTTCCTCAGCCCACCACGGAAACTCCAGCTACTCCTCAGCCCACCACGGAGTTGTTAGGCCACGAACATTGAGAAAAGCGGACCCCCAACTATTTGCAGGACTTTGTCACACACTCAGCTCGTCGATTAGACCCCTTCGCTGTTTCTCCTGCATCAACTAAGTCCTCAGGTACTCCTTATCCCATAACTCATTATGTGACGTATGATAATTTTTCTGTGAAACACAGACATTTCTTGGCAGTTATTACTACAGGCCGAGAACCTACTCATTTCTTTGAGGCAATGACTAACGCTCGGTGGCGCGAGGCTATGCACCAAGAGATACAGGCTTTGGAAGACAATGAGACATTGACCTTGGAAGACCTCCCACCTAGAAAAAAAGGCAATTGGGTGTAAATGGGTCTACAAAATCAAGTACAACTCTGATGGTTCCATTGAAAGATTTAAAGCATGGTTGGTAGTCCTGGGCAACACTCAAATTGAAGGTCTTGATTACAATGAAACCTTTGCCCCTGTGGCTAAAATGGTCACAGTTCGAACCTTCTTAGCAGTTGCTGCGGCCCAACATTGGGAATTGCATTAGATGGATGTCCACAATGCTTTTCTGCACGGTGATCTCCATGAGGAGGTCTATATGAAACCTCCTCCAGGTTTTTCGGCCTCTGGGACTGGAAAGGTATGCAAACTCCGAAAATCTTTGTATGGTCTACGGCAAGCTCCCCGGAACAAACCCCTCGGAACTGGTTCTCTAAGTTAGGTGCTGCCTTGAAAACCTTTGGGTTTGAAGAGTCCTACTTCGATTATTCCTTATTTACATATCGCAAGAATGGGGTTATCTTGTACTCCTCATTTATGTTGATGACTTAATCGTTGGTAGGAATAACCAAGAGTTCATACGTAAATTTAAACAGTATATGAACCTGACAGCACCGAAAAGCCACCATTCTCATTCTCGCTTGCCAGATACTTCTTCCCTTTATCATATAGTTTATAAGAGAAATTCAATACTCCATTTGGTTTTCCATCGATAGACCAGACTTGATAACTGACGAACCTTACGGATCCATCAAACTCATCCACGAGATGTTTGAACGGGACACAAACTTCTCCGATGCTCTTATCTCCGAAGATGATACCGTCGCAGCGCAAATCAAATTCAATAAAGGCATGATCATAATCAAGAAAGAGATATGTTTCAGATAAAAATTATTTTTTTTATTATTTTATAAAAATGTTATCTTTTATTGATATTCAGGGCGAAAATTTGACCATGTCTGCTATAACCCCAAAATTATATTTTGTATCAGAGACACCTGAGCGGTAGAAGTGTCAAAAGTGGATTCAAATCCAACGTTCGTATAATGATGGCCTGGAATGAGAATGAGCTTGTTGAATCATATCAGCACTAAAATTTAAATATAGTGGAGGTTGATTGAAGGGCAATGTCAAAAGTTGATGGCTTCCAAAGAAAATGAATGATTAGTGTATATATGTACCTTTCTTAACGAATTCATGGAACACTCTGGTCCCATCTCATTAATCAATTAGGGATGATATTTTTTCTTAATCTAAGACTGACAACCTGAGTTGAGGATTGGCTGATGCAGATGGAATTGGGATCGGAGATTCGGAGGTATTTTGATTGAAAATGAGAAGAACAAGAAGATGAATCTGAAAGTTGAGATGGGTTTAACCAGATATGATTCTGCGGGCTGCACGAAAAAGTTTAGCACTCGGATTAGTTGGCATCTTACAGGGTTGGCACTAAAACGAGTGTAGTCATTCAGGAATGGAATTGTTAGATGAAGACATCAAATCAAACCGATCAGAGAATCTTTTTAGTTCGAACCCACAACTTGGAGGGAGTGTGTTGGTCAACACCTCTTTAATTAATTACTCCTTAATTTCCTCCATTAACTTAATAAATGTTTGAGATGAATCGTAAAGCGACGATATTAATTCGGTATTAATTCCTAGAATCGTGAATTTGAAGCAGCTTTAATAACTAGATGCGAACTTGATTCAGAAAGGTCTGCCGGTTGATAATCGTGGGGATTTTGTTTCCTTTATGCTGGCTTCCTGCTCTCTCATTTAATGCGTCACGGTACCAAAAATTTCCAAGCATTTGGACAGCTCGCCATGTGTAATGCATCAAAATGAGAGAAGCAGAAAATAAAGAAGCCATTGACTTCTGGTGAAAAAGCTTATTAAGAATTAAAAGGTGAAATATAATTTGTATTAAATGTATGTCGAGATCTACACTACAGGTTCCAAAGCAACAATGCAACATCTTTTTTTTTTTTTTTTTTTTTTTCTAAAAAAAAGAAGGAAAAGAGCAGAACTTCATTCATACTAAAAGATATTTACCTTAGATCTCAGCATGTCTAGAGTAATATCCATTTTTAATTTACCAAAACAAAGCCAACTTATGTAGTTCAAGCTTCTGAACTAGTCAATTAGTCGAGCCACAGATATCCGCTAAAATAGTGATAAGGTTTAGCTTAGGATTTCTTTTCGATTAATTTCTGGTAAGTATTAATTCTTCTATTTCTTAATTTTCAGGATTGAGAAACGAGTACCCCCGCATCCACTGAAGCACGTGACTGCTTGGCTATGATATCAATGTCACATCGGCCATAATAAAGAGGCAGACCGCCGCCCTCCTTCCTCTTATCTACTCCGTGCGACGTCCAGCCATTTGTCTAGAACCATACCCTGCAGCCCCTACCTCCCCCTTCTCCGTCCACTGTCTCATCAACTCCGACCAAGAGCTCTGCTTGCCTCAACGATGAAGAAACAATTGCTTGATTACTCACTGGTCTCATCAGGGTTTCTCATGATGGTGGTTTATCACATATGGCTCCTCCATCGCATCATAAAGCACCCCACAAAGACCGTCCTTGGCGTCAACGCCATCAACAGGCTCCTATGGGTCCGAACTATGATGGATGTATGTATATATATATATATATGTATATATTTCACCATTTATATATGTTTGTCGAATTGTTGATCGGTCCGTCCTTTAAATCTCTCTCTTTCTCTCTGTATAAAACGCGCGATACAGCTGTTTGATTTTATATATTCTTTGTTGTTTGCATGGAATATGTGTTGCCAGAACATGTCCAAGAACGGTATTCTTGCGGTACAAACACTCAGAAACAACATAATGGCGTCCACACTGTTGGCATCCATGGCGATCATGCTGAGTTCCGTCATCGCGGTGTTGATGAGCAACAGGAATGCCCGACCGTCCAAGTTCGTTTATGGAGACGAAAGCGATCTTGGGTTCTCGATCAAACTCTTCTCTATCTTGATCTGCTTCTTGATGGCTTTCCTATTTAATGTGCAGTCAATTCGGTATTACAGCCACGCAAGCATCCTAATCAACGTGCCGGTGAAGAATATGTCGTCGTCGTCGTCATCCCATCTAACAGTGGAGTATGTAGGGAGGACTGTGAACAGGGGCAGCCATTTCTGGTCTCTGGGTTTGCGTGCTTTCTACTTCTCTTTCCCTCTGTTCTTCTGGATCTTTGGTCCAATACCCATGTTTCTTTGTTGCCTCGTTCTGGTTTTCATGCTTTACTTCCTCGACGTCACTTTTGAATTTGGTCAGGCAATAGGAGCTGTTGATGAAGACAAGGACGAGGAGCAGGAAGTAAACTAGCTTGCTAGCTTACTATGATGTGGCAACTTCATTAATGGGCACATTACACTTAGCTAGCTAGAGTCTAGAGCTGGAGATTAGAGAACAATTCAAATTCAACAGAAGTTGAATTCAATTGTTCTAGTCTAATAATGTCTAAACCAACGTAGGAAGTTCGTAATAAGACAATAGTTTAGCATGTCAGGTTTTATCCCTTCTACTTGTTGCTCATTTCATTCTCTCAGCTCTGCTATTCTAATTTCTAAGCCTCTTCTTCTTCTTCTTCTTCTAATGTTGGATGCTTCTGGTCTGTATTAATTCCGTTACTCCTAATATTAAAGGGGGCGGATCTCCATAGCCCATGTGTCTGTGTCAAAGCATAGATTCGAAGATATTCCATATATATACGTCATGGCTTACCTAATTAGAGAACATGGTTGTCATGCACATACATGCGCACTATGTTTCCTGGTCGTTATAGTGGAAACAGACATGCCTTCAAAATGAATGTTTGACTAAATGAACTTTCCTTTGTGAAAAGTTCAAAATTTTGACACGATGCCCTCTATGTGCAGTGCCGAGCCAAAAATTTTCTTTTCGGAAGCCAAAGTTGAACAAGAAAAAAAGAGATAAAAGAGTAGATGAGGTAGGGTTTGGAGGGAAATGGAGTAAAAAGGTTTAGATCTTACACGTGGTTTGCTCCGCCCCTGCCTATATATATGACCTATCGAGCGAGAGGTTGCTAGGGAAACTTGGCGTAATTGGCTTTGTTGCCATTTTTTACACGGTGGTTTGCTCGTATCATCGTTCTTGGGACCGCTCTCCCGGTGAAGCACTGAAGCCCATAAAAGCATGGTTTTTGAATTGCCGTTCACTCGGATGGTCGGATCATTTGGCCCAGCAATCGTTTAGATAATCGGTTCTATTTTATCTCAAATTCGATCCCGGGCAAAAAACTGTTGAACCATTGGCCTGTTTAACGATTTTTGGCCATTTTTTATTTTTAATTATTTTTTTATATTTTTTAATTTTTATTGTTAGAACAGGCCGTTCATTCAAATCAAAATAGTTAAACCATTGACCCGAAAACCGGTGGCCAGAATGATTTTATTTCCGGGTTATTTTTTAAAACCATGCATAAGAGAGATGAAAGTAAGATCCGAGGGAAAATCTTCAAAGAAACCTCAGACCTTTGATGACCCTTTTCTGCCAGTCAATCCATAGCACAATTGCCTTATCTACAAGCAATGCACATCTAGCTAATACTGTAGTGTATCAATTGATGACTATAAAATATTGAAGGAAAATTATATGCATATATATAAGGGAAAAGAAGGTTTCTAACCCCCAAAAAGCTTCTTAATGCCTAAAGTCCCTCCAACTCTCTTTTTCTTGAGGGAGCTTAAGACCCTAAAATGGATTTGTATGAACTTGCTTCAAGGGGTTTGATAAGGTAGTTCATAAAATTAGAAATGAAATATGTTTAACATCAAATTATCTATATGAAACAGTACAATTAAGAAAAAAAATAAAGAAATCAAAAGTTTGACATATACTTGGATATGTTTTATTTTATTGTTTGCATTTTTCACTTTAAGTATACTTTATATGTTATTGTTATGTATTTTAATTTAAGCTAATAAGTTTTTTATAATCTTTAGTTTCGAATTAAAGTTTTCATTTTTAATTAATATTATTTTAATTTTTTAATTTTTTTGCATTTTCTAAAATTATTTCAAGAAGATAAGGACACTAAAGTATGTGTTCTCTCATATGTTGGTTTGATATGTTTTTGTAATTTATTGGAATATCTAATAGTATTTTCATACTCCTACTTATCTTAATTTTTTGTCTGTCTCCAAGGAATATCTTGAAAATCATCATCATTTTCATGCCTTATCCCAACTATATGGGGCGAGTTACATGAATCCTATTTTACTTATCCTTTCTATTTATGAGCAAGAAAAGACAAGCCAAAATACATATTGATGAGGATTTGGCGAAAGGTTTAGTGTTGACTACCAACTTCAGTCTTCACACAATTCTTCTCTTTTATCTAGGCTTTGAGACGACTGATGTAAGACAAACTCACACTAGTGGTATATATATATATATATATATATATTTTGATACATCTCTTAAAATTGCCTTTCTTTATATTTTAAACCTTAACTATTTGTATTGAACCAAAACGATTCAGATAGAAATAGTAACGGTACCTAAGACAATATAATTAAATAATACCCTGTTTTATATGACACAAATACTTCTGTTTACTTAATACACTTTAAAAAATACATTCACACAAGTAATGAATACTTTTGCACGATCAAGGTAAGTAGGTAACTAAGGCTGTACGTGGGCCAAGAAAAATGGCTCAAGCCCACAAAGGTGTAGTTAAAATTCTAGGCCAGACTGCTCATTGAGGCTCAAACATGCAATCCCAAATTCCCAATTCCCAACGGGTAAGACCGGATGCCTCAAACTAATGATGACAACGATTCAGCAATTGTTACTTTCTTATTTTTCCTTGTTGCCCATCTATGCTATTCACAAAAAGCTGTTGAAATTTCAAAAAAACCAGACCCAAAAAAGCTTTGGGAAAAAACAATTTTCTTCAAAGTAAAAACACAAATTAAGCTTGTTCCATTTGTTTTGAGTTCAAGAACCTGTTTTCCTACTAATGTGGAAATTTAAGAAATAAGAAAAACAAAAACATGTCATACATTTATTGACATTTGACAGTCAGTCAGTCCGATGGAAAAGATGATTTCTAGCAAACATATAAAACTATTTTCTTTTCTTGTTAATTTCTAGTACAAAAATGGTAAATGATGAAGGGAAATTTGGCCTGACCTCGCGATCGCCCGACACGTGGCGAAGGCAAGCAGCTCGGGGCAGTAGAGCGCCCAAAGCGAACATCGGAAGCAAGTCTAAGCTCACTACCGAGCCCGAACTCCAGACCGCTGTACTTAGTCCGAGCTCCCTGTTAAGAGCGAGCTCCCTGTTAAGGGTCCGAGCTCCCTAAGAACCTAGCTCCCTAAGTCCGAGCTCCCTACTAGGAGCCCGAGCTCCCTGTTAAGAGCGAGCTCCCTAAAATCCAAGCTCCCTAAGAACCCGAGCTCCCTATTAAGAACAAGCTCCCTACTGGGAGTCTGAGCTCCCTATTAAGAGCGAGCTCCCTACTGAGAACCCGAGCTCCCTACAAGGAGCACGAACTATACTGGGCCCCGAGCCTCACAAAGCTGACCCGAGCTGGCCCATGGCAGCTCGGAACACTACAAACCGAACTCAAGGCACCTCGCTCGCCACTCCAACACTTCACTTCCAGAGCACTAGGCCAGCCAAACGTACCCAACACCAAGGACGTCCGTATCCAAGGGCGACGCACCTGACTGATTTCGAATCTGACGCCTGACAGCCGCATTTCAAACGGCTTCCTGCCATCGCCACCTGCAACCGTCGTCACTTGCCGCAGAGACGGCTCCGACAAAAGGAACAGTGGCGGTTCTGTCCGGCCAGAGGAAATGACA